GGCGCAGCCCTTGCCCGGCCCTGCTGCCTCCAACTCGCTGCCAGACAAAACGGGCACGCTGCCGCCCACTGGTCCGTGCGCAGGCAGCACCCCCGGACCCCCCAGACAGTGCATGGTGTTGGTGGCGCTGCCGGGCCCGTTCTGCTGCAGGCTGGCAAGCTCCCCCGTGGATGCAGCTTTGGATACCAAGTGCTTCAAGTCTGTTTCGTCCAGTAGCGCTGCTCTGCAGCGCTTCTCGGCCGTCTCCTTCCCACGCTCACTGCCGGGGGAGCCGTTGGCGTGTCGTGATGCACTGGAGAGCTGCTGGCAGCCACCTGGCAGGATAAGGGGGTGCCTCGAGCGCCTTCTCTCTGCAGAGGGAAGATGCTTGTTCTCCTTCTGGCAGGGTGACAGGATTTGGCTGCCAAACCGCAGGGTCCGTAGCAGAAAGCTCTGCAGTGCTCCAGTCGGGAGGACTCGGCACGTTTTGGAGAGAGAAGTCCGAGGAGCCATGCTTGTCCGGGGCAGGGAGGGAGACCAACTCCTGGTCCACCATGGCATGGCCGGGAGCAAGAAGAGGCTGCTCTGGAATCAGGTGATGATGGGCCGGCATCTCGCTTGCCTCTGGAAGAGACGGTGGCTGCTCGTCCCTAGTGGGCTCCACTCCACCCTCCTCTCCCAGCAGCCCCCCAACAGGAGGATGCAGGTGGGTATCTGTTGCCTCAGCTGCTTCAGTGCCCTGGGGGGTGGGGGTCCTCGCCTCTGCTGCCGTTGTTCCTCCTGGCACCCTGGGACCTGTGTGAGGATGGGGCTCCCTGTCTGGGGGGTGCTCGCCCACCTGGCCATTCTGGCTGTTGGCTACCACATTGCTCTTCACTGCTACTGGGTTGAGGGAGAGCTCCAGGCCCAGGGGTTTCCGTGGGAACTCCTCAGGCTTTGCTGCATTGGAAGCAGAGAAAACAAAATAACCCCCGAACTCTGCATTAGTTAATTTTTGCATCCAGCATGCCCCAAACCACAGGGAAGGCAGATGCTGCACCCAGTGGGTGCCAGCCCTTCTGGGCTGCCCCAGCTCCCAGCCACGCCAGAGGGATGCTCTGGTCCCCAGGGGATATGGGTACCACCGGCTGTTCCCACTAGGCTTCCCACCCTTCCCCTCTACCCTACCTGGCGGGGGGAGGTCACATTTCATCTTGCGCAGTTCTGTCATTGACACCTGCAGTTGCTCGATGACGGCATCATCCTCATACTGCAGGGAAGCAGCAATTTTCTCCTGCAGGAATTCCCGTAAATCTTCCAGCGTCATCTTCAGCAAGCGCTCTGGGGGCCAGCAGAAAGGAGAAACGGCATTGGTAAGGCCAAACGGCAGGGCAGCACGAGTGTGGATTGAAGTGCTTTGGTTTTATCTGGGATTCTGCTGCTGTTCCCACTCCAGGGCGGGACACCATGAACGGTTTTGCCTCTCTCCCCGTGTAGCTCAGGGTAGTCGATATATTTATGGATCTATGTATTTACGTAAAATCACGTAAAACACATATTTACGTATTACACCTCTGGGCAGTAGCTCAGCAATGGCAGGACAATGGTGGGGCTGGGACCTATGCTGACCAGGATGCGTGTTTTGGGCCATTTCTGGAAATTCTCACCGATACCTCTAGGAGGAGGAAAAGCTCCGTGAGACAGACCCCGAGTGTCAGACTGAACAGCTACTGCCGGCAGCTGCCAGCACCAGCCAGCACACAGGGATGGATGCAGGCCCACGCCAGGGATGCAAGCAAGGATGGGATGCAGGCAGGGATGCTGATCCACACTCTCCTCAGGGAGTTGATTTCACTGCCAGTTTCCCAGTCTCCGCAAACAAACGGGATACTTGAAGGTGTATTTCTGGGTAGCCGCCTGTTCTCCATTCCACTGAAGGAAGAGCAGGGTGGCTGTTTGCAGAAGCCAACACATGCAGCCCCATAAATCCCACTGAGCAAAAGGTTCCCAGCAGGCAGTATCAGCATCGCTCCTGTCCCAGATTAGAGACCTAACAGGGCAACAAAGCAAGGCTGCTAGCTTATGGGAGCAAGACGGGTTCAAAGTCCCAAGGATCTCAAGGCAGAAACATCATTGCCTTAATGTTATGGAAGAAAACCAAGTTTTGGTCATTTTGGAAGTATATGAATGGATTTATTTCTCCCTGTACAGGCTGTTTCAGCTGAACTGCCACATACAGCTTTGCAGACAGATGGGTTGCTGTCTGTATTGCCCCTAGAAGCATGCTGATGAAAGATGTGGGGCGCAGCACACGGGAAGAGGCAGCTGGGAGCATTCCAGGTGGGGTTTGCTGTGCATGGAGCGCAGGATTTCAACCCTTATGGCATCTCATTTCCTCCCCAGAGCATCAGCACGGGAGTGTGCCTTCTGGGGCCAGCGCAGGGCACTGAGCAGGCTGGTAGCGGCCAGCAAGGCTTGCTGGGTTGGCAGCACAAGGGTGGCTCAGCACAGTGCTACCTTTGCCATACGTGACGCGCTCTGCTGGGACCTTACTTTTGTGCAGTTTGAGGATGGTGTACGCCATGGCCGTCAGCACCCGCTCTCCTTCCAGGATGTAGATATCCCACAGACGCAGGGTCAGGGTGAAGGGGGTCTGTTTCAAACACACAAACAAAAATCCAGCTTGTTAGCACCACACTCATTAGCACTGATTGATGAGATGATGATACAGAAGTAGGTGGCATCACTCTCGAACCAAAACACACAACAAGGCAAAGGCATTAGATGCCCAGGATTCATCTATAACACATAAACCTATTTTACTGTCCATGGTTTTGCATTAAAGCTAACACCCTTGTGTGGCTGGGAAAGTACTTAAAATCTGGCTGCCAGCACAGAAAAAGGAGGGACTTTCTGCACAGGCACACTAGCACATGGATTCCCCTACCCTGGAAAGAGCATCATCATCTTGTAGCCTTGTGGGCGCACAAAACCACTCCTGTAACCATCCAAGTTGTCCAGCCAGAGGAAGGGCTATTTATGGGATAGGTCTGAAGACCCAACTATGCTTCACTGAGCATTAAAAAAAATCACTCCTTTGGCGTCTAGAGGAATAGTCGTCTTTATACACAGGCTTGTTTCTGCTTCCTAGAGCAACCTCTGCAAGAGGTTTCCATTTCCACCTGGACTCAACCTGACAGTCAGGAGTGAAGTGATAGCCAAAATGATGGAGCAGCCCATCATCTCCCAGCAAAGATTTAAGGCATCTCACCAGCACAGAAATTAACACTAGTCCTACTGTGAAACTGAAGTTGAAATTTAGGATGACCTGACGTTCCAGAGTTTGGCACGACTGGCTACTGCAGCTCTTTTACCACACATTACTGCAGTTAAAGGGATTTTGCATTTTATCCAGCTTTTAGTGACAGACTGCAAAGCAGCGAGTTCCCTCTCAAGGAGAAGACATCATCCCCTGTTTTACAGGAGACAGGGCAGCAGAAAATTGAGACTGGGGATACACAGGTGTCCTAAACATTACCAACATTGATCCTGCATTCAAGCACAATGCTGCCCCTAAAAATAAGGTAGTCTTGGCTCAGGACTGGCAAATTAGCTCTGGACAAATCAGGGTAATTTTCTCATGCTTTCATGTGTCTCCAGTGCCCAGCCCGCTCCTTTGCCTGCAGCTGCAGCACTACTATTTGTTTTAGGTTTGTGCCTCCAGCTCTTCTCCCTATGTTGTTTCCAGAGACAAAGTGAGGTTAATTGCCTTTGCAGCAGTGCCAGTGGGCAAGACAAAGATCTCTTCCTGACTTTGAAGCTTATACTGCTGCTGCTGAGCCATCGCCCAGCGACTGCCTGTGATGAGGCCGCGGGAACTGGCTTGTCATCAGCGACATGCAGCTATTTTTAGCTTCTTCCTTACTAATGTTTTTATCTTATGAGAGTGTGCATAACACCTCACCTTATAAAACATTAACACCTTTTTCAAATGATGATACTTTTTCAAAAAAAACAGGCAGATTAACAGCGCATGCAAGTGGCAGAGCAGCAAACAAGCCGCAGAGCATCCTCACCCGGTCAATGAAACACTGCAGGAACCACTTGGTCGTGTAAATCCCTGTAGTCATCTGCTCCTTGTCCTAGGAGGAGAGAGCGAAGAGAGACAGGCGTTTCACCAGGCTGCCTGCTGGAGGCTCAAGCAACTCACAGTATTAATAAACCAACCTCCCCAAAAGCCCTGAGGTCTGGGTGCAGGATCTGGCTGCAGTCTGTCTCCCAGCAAAGCCCTGCTTTGACCCTTTGGCCCAAGTTATTCATTGAACCTGATCCTTGACTTGGCCAGACTTCAGCCACAGCTTTGGAGAGGGATTTCTAGGAGAAGCTCTTCTGGCCTAATATCTACTTCAGAGATATACAAAAACCTTCCAGGAACTCAAACTATGCACTCCTTGCAGACTATCATTTTTGTTTCCATAGCAATCCCCATGAGAGCCTCTCAGAGCACCACAAAAATGATTAACCCCAAGTATCCCACAGGTAAATCCAGAGTCAAGCCAGCTTTGCTAGCACTACCTCATTTGCATGGCATGGCTACTGCAGGAGCAGGACAGCCTGACAGACTAAACCTGATCATCACCACCCCAGTCTATCACTTTTCCATCCCTGTCTGGCACCCGGCACGGTGTGCACACACAGCTTTGATTTTTCTGGGATGGCTGATGGCACGGCACGCTGGTGCTGGGATGCACTAAGTTGTTGTGGTCACTGCTGCAAAGCCAGCAAAGCAGCAGAGATGGAAAGAGAAAGAAGCCCATGGGATTAACGGTCAGCTCCAGTCTCTGCTTCTGGCTGCTGCTGGGCACCTGCAAGCCTGGGGAGCTTTTGGGAGCCAGGAGGTATAAGCAGCTTTCAGGGAGTTATTCCCATCCTCCCTTCCCAGGTTTCCCCACCCCCATGGCTATAATTAAGTGAAAAGCTGCCCAGGGTCTATTTCACTTATAGGGTCAGAGTTGGCCCTATATATTTTATCTTCTAGGGTCACAAAGCAAGAGGTGTTGCAGATGATGGCAACAGCTTTTCGTGGAGCTGGGCCACCAAGCTCCTTGGGAGCATAAGACACCTTCAGGAGTCTGGACATGGACACTGAACACTGACTGTCTACAGCAAATCAAGAGAGAACAAGGGGAAAAAGATTAAAAAAGGGAGCAGGTGTTGCACAACAGTCGCCTAGATGTCAGACTGCAGTCGACGTGCCCTGCAGATGCTCCTCCAGCCACCAAATAGGCTTGGACCATCTGGTAGAGAGAAAAACAACTGGACGTGCCCAAGCAGCAAAACACACAGCAAATCTTGTGTGTTCACAACCCTGTGTCTCCCGTCTTTAACAGCAAAGCTATTAAATGCAAGCACTTGCGTCTAATAATTATTGCATTAAGACTGCAGGCAGTTCAGCATCATGGGCTTTGCAGCTGGTGTAGGAACACAGCCCAGCCTTGCTGCTGAATGCAACAGCTCCTTCTGCTGCAAGCTCCGTGAGCCTTCCTGCCTGCTTCCCTAAGGAAGCCTTTACATTTCAGCAGTCCCTATGCTAACGACGACCGAAGCAAACGACAACCATTTGCCTCAGCGAGATTCAGGCACCCCATTTAACAAACCCTTGCCTCTCTGTGGCTGCAGCAATCCTACACAGTTAGAAATACGTTCAGTTGTGCATCTATTTGGCAGAACGTTACACTAATTGCTTTAGGATTAAATCGCGATATTAGTGCGGGGAGAGCGATAGCAAAGATACCATATGCTTCTTCAGTTTGGGAAACAGTTTGCTTAAAATCTGCTCGTGATGAGCTTGAAATCTCTGCAGCTTCGGGAACCCAGGAATGAAGAAACCTTGAGAAAAGATGAGAGAAAAAAAAAAATCAGAACAACTCTGGAGCAGTCACAGGGACAGCCTGATTTTGTAGAAACTCATCCCCTGCATTGCCTGTTGAAGTTGGCTGGACCATGCTGCACCCAGCTACCTCCCTCGGCATCCCTCCCACAGCCTGCCCTTCTCCCCATCTACATGGGCGACAGCACCCTCAGCACCAACCCCAGCTGGTCCTTACCCCAGCCGGTCCTTACGCCAGCCCCGCCGAGCGGACCTGCTCACTTCCCCAACCACCTGAGACTTGGCTCGACCAAGACTGCTCTGAACACATCTCGGGGCTCATCAAGGTTCAGAGAAAAGCTGAAGATGTTTAAACGCCACAAGCTTGTGCAGCACCCCGTAATCTAGCACGACGTGTGTTTAGGACTGTCTGGAGTTATCAAGATATTTATTAGCCCTCTGCTCATAAAATAACCTTCTGTGCATAGATTAACCACAAGACGAAAGGATCTTTAATGTGTTTATGTGAAATAATACAGCACATTTGGTGGAATTACACCTTTATAAAAACACAAGGGCGTGTAGCTCATGGCACGCCAAAAATGGAGCATTACGTGATGCTTTTGGATGCACTTCTGTAGAGATTGCTTAAAAACTCATAACCTTGAGTTAATTGATTGCCAAGGGCAAGGCACTCCGGAGGGAAGATAGAACCTCTGCGAAAGCGTTAATTACTGAGTGCTAAAGCTCAGCGCCAATAAACCATTTTCTCTGATGAACTTTTCTGCTGCGAAGAGTGAAGTTCAGCTCCGTAGCCGGGCTGCATCGGCACATAATTAAGTCTTACACATTTTAAACACGTATGTGAGGAGAAACGAGGCTCTACTGACCAACCTAAACAGCCTTCCCTCCTCTGGCAAGAGGCCCCATCTGCATCCCGCCCCGGCCTTACCGTGCATGGCATGCCGCTGGTTGGTCAGCAGCTGTGCCAGTGCCCAAAACGCATCCTCTTCGTTCAAGTACATCAGGAGGATGGCTGCAATCTGGCTCATCCCTTGGCAGTAGCTCACTTCCTGCAAGAGCCAAGAAAGGCACACGTGCTGCCACGCCGCCAGACCCCCTGCGTGATGCCAAAGCAGCAGGAGGAGGTCAGGCTGCCTGTGCTTCCCTCTCTTCTTTCAAGGTCTATCCTGTTTCAAAGTCTTTATCGCTCGTGCCCAAATTCATGCTCCTATATGTCTACAGCATCTACCATGTCAGTGACACAGAGTGGTTTGGGCTGGAAGGGACCTTTGAAGATCATCTTGTCCACCCCCCCTGCCCCCATCATGGGCAGGGACATTTTTCACCAGACCAGTTGCTCCAAGCCTCATCTAGCCTGGCCTTGGACACTTCCAGGGATGGGGCATCCACAGCTTCTCTGGGTAACCTGTCCCAGTGCCTCCCCACCCTCTCTGCAGAAAATGTCTTCCTTATATCCAATCTAAACCTACCCTCTTTCAGTTTAAAACTATTGCCCCTTGTCCTGTCACTACAGGCCCTGGTAAAAAGTCTTTCTGCCTTTCTTAGAAGCCCCCTTTATATAATGAAAGTCCACAATAGGGTGTCCCCAGAGCCTTCTCTTCTCCAGACTGATCATTCTCAACTCAGCCTTTCTTTATGGGAGAGGTATTCTGGCCCCTCCGAACATTTTCGTGGCCCTCCTCCAGACCCACTCTAGCAGGTTCCCCAGCAGGAGGCAAGGGGCTTGCAGGCAATGACGAACCCTCCCAAACTGCCCCCCCAAGCCCTGCTCAAGCCTGGAGGGCGAGGAACAGAAACCCCAACATCAGAGGTGCCTGCAGCTACTTCAAAGAATAGGGGATGGGATGATAAACAGCATGTGGCTCTGATACTGTTCCAGATTCCTTCAGCCACATGAGCACTGAAGTAATTAAAGAATAAATCAATCTGGTAAGCATTTATCTGGCGTGAGGGAAGGTATGGTCTTTCTTTCCTTGACTAACCCCCTGAGCATCTTCTGCGCCTTCTGGGGCAATTGTCCCCTCCTGGAGATGGATCAGCTGCTAATTTAGACCTATTCTGCCTGTGCCTTTCAGCTAAAAATGACTGGTTTGCTGTAACAAATCAGTGTTTCCAACAAGTATGCCACACAACGTATAACAAAAAGTCAGAAACATGACAGGCCTTTCAGCCAGGAGGCTAGTTTTGCTGGAAAGACAACGGGTAAACCCTTGTTCTTTGCTGACACTTGCCCAAACCGCATCTGCCAGATGTCACATACTAGGTGACAAAATGAACAAGGGAGTGAAACAGCCATGCAAAGAGTCTTGTGCTGCCCAAGAGTCTCGCAGCTGTCTGTACAAACCAGTACTGGGACTTAAAATTGGAATTACCACTGGCTAAATGTGGGGGGGTGTACATATATATGCATACAAAAACATACATGTGTACAGATATATAAATACAGATAAAGCTTTTTAAAATCTTCCTATAAAAGCACAATGCTATTCATTTTAACTGGACTAACTTACTACTTACGGTGTTATAAACCGAGTATGCTGACAGGACATGGAAGAGTGCCTGTTGCCTGCGGAGAAAGAAGGATAAGAAAACATCTGAGCGTGAGGTCTCTAGCTTCAGCCCAGAGGCTCTGAAAACACCCAGACAGCTGGTACTTATGCCCATAAGGGCTCGCAGAACCAGAAAGCACCTTGATGGGCACATGGGATGGGACCTCCTCCTTCAGAGGGGAGTCACCAGTGGTGCCAGAGCGGGGCTGAGCCAGCCTGCTCCATCAGCATCTCCTGGAGAGACGGGCACATACCCACCCATGCTGTGTTCAACACCCGCTCTTCGGGTGTGGAACGGCAGTGGGTTTTTAACAGACTTGCAGCCACCCAGGCATCAAATGTTACACATCCTCAGGAAAGCACTTCCACTGTTTTATTAGTAAATTCCTTTCTTCCTTCCCTCCTTGCTGAAGGAGGCATGAAAGACACGCAGTGCAGGCTTCTGTGCAGACTGCACATCCGTGTAGGACAGCCAGGCATCACTCATCCAAGTGACAAAGCCACTCAGTCAACCCTCTCCAACCCCATCTGTTGGGGAGGCCAAGTATGCCCCATCCCATCCAGCTTCCGAGTGACCTGCCCCATCACCACAGCCATCCCAAACCTCTGCACCTGCAACCCTAGCACCCAGGGGGACAAGGCACTGCAACAGGCTGATGCTTGGCTCAAGAACCGGGGCTGAACGTGCTCCAGTGTGGACATGTCCGAAGAGAGAATCAGCAGCCCAACATCCGTGGGTTGTACTATGTGCTGATGGTTTGTGGAGCTGGCAGAGATGGCTTTGCTCTCCCGTGAGCTGCTCTGAGCCAGGGGGGTTGCTGGCCACCCCCATCCAGCTCATACTGGCACCAAAGCCTGTACAGCCACGTGAAGCCTCCTGTACTTACTTCACTCCGTAGCGATCCCGAAACATGATGTGGTTTCGGAAGGTGCGGTTAACATCCAAATCTATCTGCTTGATTTCTGAGGAAAAGCTCTTTGCTTGCTCTTTCATTTGCTGGAAGGGAGAGAGGCAGACGAGGGAGTCAGACACCGTCTCAGCCCACTCTCCCCGCGCAGCATGGCATGCTTCCTACAGCACGAGTGGCAGCTTGTGACCTGCAAAGATACCGCAGGGCGACTCGGGGACACGGCTGTCCTGCAGTGAGCAACGATCTGCAGCCCGGACGTAAATCCTCAGCCCCTCAGCTGTGCTGAAGGAGAAGGGGCCAACCCCACTCTCACGTGCTGCATCAGCTACCAACCCAGGCTTTGCCCATCTTCCAATGCAGATACTGAGTTTTCAGAATCTAAAACCTTTCCAATTAAATTCCACTCTGATTTCCTTTGATTTCTTTGCAGTACCTAGCCTGGCCCTCATAAAGCATCGAGACCTCTGTGGGCGCTTAAGGAATGACACACTTCTATAACCAACATGCAGATGTAAGCACTGAGTCCCTGAGCTTTTCAGAGGCTCAGTCATGATAAAGTCCAAACTGTTACGAGAGACTCTACGCAGTGATCCCCAACAACTACTTCCCCTGCAGAAGAGTAACATCTTAGGTTTAAGGAGTTTCCACTAGAAAAGCAGTTCTGGGGTGTTTCCTTGGACTGGTGTAAGTTTTAAGGAACTGGCATAGTCCAGAAGAGAAGCTAAACTCAAAACCAAGAATCCCCATGTTCTGCCCATACTGGCTAACCATGTAAGGCAGCATCACACAGATAAAGGGCTGAAGTCTACTGAAAAAAAAAAAAAAGGAAATTCAAACCGAAGCTAAGCACACCTCAACCGTGTGTGCCCCCAGAATCCCAAGCTCAAGACGCTCCATGGATGAATCCCACTGCAGTCCCATTTGTAAACCACTGTTCAGCCCTGTGCGTGCAGGCAAGGACCATTCTGCTACAGCCAAGCATCTCAGCTCACAGCCTTTAGATACCACCGGTGACCATGCAATTGCCCTCCTTCTTTACTATCTCCAAGGCTAATTGCATTAACAAAATATATTTTGTGACTGTCTTCAGGCAGCCTGAGATCCACCTGCAGGTTAGAGGCAGCAGAGATGTGCAGCAAGCCCAGCTTGCCTGGAGCAGGAGGTCAGGACCCCTCCTTGCTCACACGGGAGACGGAAAATAGCACATCTGCACAGATACTTAATCATCTGCTCCAGCAGCTGCTGTCCTACCAACGCTTGTCAGCCTGACAGAAGGCACCTCCAGGCTGCTGTTCAGCTCCCAAGGTGGCCACTTCAGCTCTGGGACACATCAAAAAGTCAATAGCACCCAGATGTGTGCAGCACAGTCAGCACTCGGGGCAGTCACAGCATCTCAGGAATGTTAACTCCAACCTTGAAAGCGGCTCTATGGAGGAGCAACAGTGCAGGGGCTATGGTGAACTACTGCTGTTTTGAGTTACTGCCTGAATAAAACAAGGGAGGATAAAAGTGGCGGTGGAATGAAGATCTGATGAACATCATTTCCCTGCTGTAAATCCTGTGCTCTCTGTATCCTGTGGCTCCCTGCCCTCTCTAAAGGAGGCTAACTACCTGAGACAAGCTGCCTATTCATAGGCACCAGGTCACTTTAGTTCAAATTACCCTGCTAAAGGCCCTCTTGTTTTCCCTGCCAGAACAACACAGAAATCTCCAAAAGACTGTAAAAAGACCTATTTGTTCCTTTGTTTAAATCACTGCACTAAATAGCAGGTAGGTTGCACAGCACTGTCACCCCCATACACCCAGGAGGCTTTATGAATTCTGCAGACAATAAATAAGAAGCCCAGGATTAGTTGTTCTCCTTTATTCCCTCGTTTAAGTAACCTGGAGGCTCCAAAGATGGTCTGCTGAGCCCAAACTAGTGCTGCCAGCCCTGTGAGCCGGCAGCAGAGCAGAGGCTGGGAAGCTGGAGGTCCCATCCCTGTGAGTAAAAACCAGGATGCCTCCGCTCTGCCCCATGGCCAGCATGTTTCTCCTGCTGCCGTCTCAGCTCTCCTCAAGCCCTCTTGGTTGTGGCTAACTTCAAGGGAGATAGAGCATCACACCCACACTGAAACCAAGTGCGGCACATCCCATGGTTGCCTGCCTCCGGGATGCTGCAGCATCATCATCAGGGACAACTGAGCTACCGTGGCCTTGAGGAAGCTTCGGAGATTTGCATGAAGTGGGCTTGGAGGACAGCTGGGATAAGATAAAGCACTACAGAAGCAACTGGGCCAGGGTTTTTAATTGCATCACTCCAGAGGCAACATGGAGATGGAGTGCAAGTTAACTCACTTGGCTGGAAAAGTAGTTCCTCCAGTGGCCGGGGACAGCACCTCTATAGCAGGAGCAGTGGGTATAAAAAAAGAAAAATCACCTGCCATGTGCTCAAAACTCAAGGCACATGCAAAAAGCCAGGCTTTGCCCCACGGTTCATGCCGCAAGGAGAAATGGGGTGGCCTTAGGACCAGCCCCTGCAGGACACAGGGCTGGGGCTTGGTCCCTTCTTGAAAGCAAAACCCTTCATACAGGACCTGCACTGAGTCTCTTCTGGAGGAAATTAGGGGAGAGCTAATTACTGGTGGCAGGTGGCACCCGACAAGAGGAGGATTAAGATGAGCTTGTAGGAGGCTTGCATCCAGCAAAGCCTATTAGTCCTGAAGCTCCTGTTTATCACAGACCCCTCTGGAGCACAGATAAACTCCTTGTGACTTTAATTTCTTTGGATTGCTTCCCTGCCTGCACAGCACAGCTTCAAGGGAGGGAGCGTGATAAGAGTCTACATGCCAAGTTATCGCTGGTTATTGCCGTGAGCCCAGCCTGCCTTCCCCAGGCCCCTGCACGTGACTCCATCCCAGCAGCATCTTGCTATTAACATCTACGCTTAACTATAATGAGCATCAGCATCATTCTGCTTAATAGGGAGGGATTTTTAGAAAAACCTGCTGGAAACAGCACTCAACCTCCTACCTCCAAAGAAACCTGTCTCCACAGAACCCTGATCCTCACCTGGGTACCTGATGCAAGCTAGATCATAACACAAGTTTGGAAAATAAGTTAATTACCAACTAAGGGCATCGACATCCTGCCTATGGAAAGAGGCAGCAAAAAAGGAGCTAAGATGCCTGAAATAAAAATTTAAAAATTCACTCAAAATGCCCCAAGTGAAATTTTCAGGCACATGGAGAGGTTCGGGGTACCCTCATCCAGCACCTACCCGCTTCAGGGTACTCGTGGCTACTCCACAACACTCTAGGGAGCTCAGAGAATTCCACCCTCTTCCCTGCAACTTTCCCTAAGGATGCAGTAACACTGACAGCATCTTTGCTCGTGGCTTCCAGCAGAATAAATGGAAGCAGCATATTAGGGAAAGCAGATGACTAATGTGATAAAAGGCCTAGCCTAATATACACACACCGATAAAGAGTTTATCCCCTTTGCATTTTCAGCCCTCGCTAATTTTAAGCCTTTCATTCTCAGAGGTCACAGCAGTTCACGGATGGGATCGGGCCCCATCACCAGTGCACGTCGTAGGGTGCTTGGCACGCCGCTACCCTGCAAGGGAGGATGGATGGGCTGGGTGTCCCCTGTGCCTCTTAAAGCAGGGCTCGGTGTCCCCTCCGCCCCTTAAAGCAGGGCTCGGTGTCCCCTCCGCCCCTTAAAGCATCCCCTTTTCTTTCCTGCCTTGTAGATGGAGACTCCTGAATCCACCACAGGTCCGACATGACCCAACCGCTGAAGCCCCACCAAACCAGCCTCCCCATCACCTTGCTCCTGTTGTCTTTTCCAGGAAGAGCCTGTACCTCGTATTTTCCGTTGTTCTCGTTTTTCATCTTCTCAACATCCAACAGAAGCGACCAGACCTGGCCTCGCACCTGAAGTGGGATCCCTTTGTACACTCGCCGGCACATCTGCAGGGAGGGAAACACGTGCAAGGTTAGCCAGTGCTGCTGGTGGCAGAACAGATTTGTGCCCCATGGTTTGCTACCGCAGACCACCAGCCATCTAAGTGGCAGGGCAGCATCTAACCAGGCAATCAACTGGAGTTACTAGCATTGCCTGCTATAAATGCATCCGACCTCCTTCAAAATCCCTCTTTCTCTTTCCATAGGGTGTTCTGCTCCATGCATTTCAGGCTGATGCAAGAGAAGAGCTACAATTCACACGGAATCATCAAGATCCTAGCAGAAGGGTTTCCAGATGTGATCCTGCTGCGTTGCGTTTGTGTCTCTGCACTAAGCTGAATATCTGCTCCTGTTACCTTTCCTTTCCAACCCATCTCTCATCATCAGCTTTTTCATTCTTAGCTTGACTTTTGAATGCCAACCTCTGCACAAGGTGATAAAGACCGTAACCATGGCACTGCGTTGTCAACCCTCCTGGGCTTGCAGCCCCCGAGAGCACAGACCCACGCTCCTCGTGCAGTTCCTGTCTGCATAGCAGCACTGCGCCTACTGAGTGCAAAACAGAGCAACAATGGCTTTTGTCCCAAAGATCTAGTAGGAGATGAGACAGCAGACAGGCTAGGGGATAGCAAAGAAATAACACCACTATCTCAGTCAAAATAAGTATAGAAAATAGCTATGGAATAAACACCAAGATCACCATGTAGTACCAGGAGAGGTAAATGTGTGTTAAAACACTTTCTCACCACATAATGGTAAATATTTCAGTATTTCTGCTGACACAGAAAGCGTCAGTGTAACGTATCCTGATCCTGTAAGCACAATGGACATTCAACATTTAAAACTCCATCCTCAACACTTGCCAAAGGCTTGGTCTGCCCCAGGTGCTGCTTAGCACCAGCTCTGAAGGTCCAACGCATAACCAGGACCATACCCTACAGACATCCTTTGCAAGATCCTGCCCTCCCCTCTGTACACCCCAAAGAGCTGACTCCTCAATGGCATCTCACTACCAAGACATGCCCACGGAAGGCCACCATTCTATTCAACAGCACCCCGCATTTTAAACAGGACATCGCTAATTCGCCGTCTGCACACCCAGGGGAGACACTCCTGCTCATCCAAACTCACGTGAGGAGGTATTTCTGGAGGACAGCGAACCTCCACACCACACCGGAGAGCTTGTAGGCTGAAAGACCAAGGAGACTAACAAGAGATTCCCGTTCCTCCAGAGTCATTAAATCAGGAGAGAAGAACTGCAATGCCTCAGGAGACACAGGGGTCAGATGAACCATGTCCCCAAAGTCGTAGTAGTAAGGAGCCCACGAAAGCCTGGCTCCTGCAAGTGGTCACGACGTCATGAGGCCAAAGCCGAGTCAGGATCAAGAAACTGGAGTGTGTACCAATTCAGCTAAAACCACCAGTTCAGAAAAAAACACTTGTTTCCAGCAGATCAGGAGAGATTGACTGACAGCTGAGGAGATAAAAGGTGATGCTCAGCTCTGTAATCAAGTAACTTTGGTTTGAATTCCCAGAGCTGTTATTGTTGTACTTCAGTGAGTGCAACCTTCACCGGCATATAGTAAACGTCTCCAGTGATTTTCTCTGCGTGAGAGCGTGGCAGGAACAGGGGAGTTATAAAACATGCTGAGATGGAGCCGAACTGAAATGCCTCCCTGTTATTTATCCAAGGGCTTTCCCCCTCCCACCACCTCCATACGTGAAAGTGATAAAACCTCAGAGCTGTGAGTCACACGGAGGAAAAATGAGCAATTTTCCCTCATCGTGAAACCTGAAGGAAAACAGGGAAGTTTCATCAAAAGCAGCATTTGCACGGGGATGAACTGATGGAGGGAAGGCAGCAGGTGATGGGAGCTCCTGCTCCATGTGAGAAGACAAGACATCCCTCAAGGTCATCATCTTCTGTCTCTTCCAAACCACCCAGCCCTTACAGATGGGAAGAGAGCACCAAGACCAGGCAGACCGACAGGCAGACCAACGCACAGCAGGAA